CAAGTCCGTGGCTCTTTGGGGCAGGTGGTTCTTGCATTTTTAAGCTAATTGACTTAACTTTGGCATCGAATGCATACTTAATGGTTTTGAATACTTGTTATTATATGAAACCCTGTTTCTAATGATTTTTTTTTAAAACATATGAGTGGATTGTGACTCCTGGAAAAAATCAAGCTTAATAAATTATAGTTACAGCTGTGTCACCAACATGACAGTTTTTCTCTTATACCAGTTTTAGGGTCTAATGAGGAGAGAGAAACTAAATCCATTATTTTAACAAAAATAATTGCATATGAAGAATTGTCTTTGGAAGAGAAAGAACTATGAGATGGTTGCTATTCTTAAAGACCTTCACCTATTCCTCATTTTCTGTCTCTGTTTTGTTTTGCCTCGTTTCTCTCTGTTTGTAAAGGATGTTGAAGAATCACAGAACCACGCTGGCGAGCCTCCCGGAGATGAGCACAGAAAGATGGGAACCCTGTTTGGTGAGCTGAACAAGAGCCTCATCGACATGGGCTTCACCAGGATGTACTTCGGAGAACGCACGGTGGAACCAGTGATTGTCATTTTCTTCTGGGTCCTGCTGTGGTTCCTTGGCCTGCAAGCCCTCGGACTGGTCGCTGTTCTTTGCCTTGTCATTATTTACGTGCAAGAGTAAGATGTGGCCAAACGGGCTGTTGTCTGACGTCCGATGGCCATGTATGTAAGTGGCGAAATTACGTATTTCACTACATGAAAGCCAAAAAGTTTCCCTTGTTTCTAATTGTGTGCTATTTTATAATTAAATTTATAAGTGGATGTTGTTTAAGATTAAACTCAACTTTTGATTATGACATGGTTGAATACATTTTGTAGCTTATTCAAAACTCTTGGTTTACTACTGCAATGTGTGCCTGCTTTTGAACACCCCTCTCCCCAGGCCAGATCCTCCTAACACACCCAAGGCAGGCAGGGAAGACAGCAGGTATGCAGTTCGTGAGCCTTGTGCAGAGATCCAGCACACCCTGCAGAAGACAGAGGGGGAAACGGAGCTGAAAGTCAGTTTTAGTTGGAGAACTGCTCCCCACCCCCCCTCAGCAAACAAGCCCTTATTATTTAGGACATAATTTGGAACTCTGTTTTCCTTGTTCATCCTTAACCGATGTATGGATAGAATCACTATAACTGCATAGCGTCTGCATGGAAACCAGTGCACCAGCGCCCCTTCTGAACACTGAAAGGAATATGCTTGCTTTTGCTGAGGAAACTTCCCAAGTTAAATGTAACTTTTTATGATGTAATGACGTGGCCGACAATGAGACTTGAATAACTTCAGCGTATCATTTGAAGTTTTAGAAAACTGTGGTGCTAATTACTTTTTGAGAATCTTTAGTTTCAAACCAGGTCCATAGTTGCCTGAACCCCAATGCTTTTTTTTAATCTTTTCTTTTTTTATCTAACAGATTGCATATATTTTTCCTAAAGAGGCATTTTCAGTGGGTTTTCCCCCCAAATTTACAGTTTATAGTTCTTTTGTAGCAAGTATTCTATTTCTTATCTTGGCATAATTTTTCCACCAAAATTGATTTGTATTACAGCTGGGATACTTTACTACTCTTTTAGAAAAAAATTGAGTGTGTATTTGTGTGAGTGTGAGTGTGTGTGTGTGTGTGTGTGTGTCATATAAAACCAAATTCTTAAATCTGGAACTTAGCCAGTTACAATAACATTCCTCTAAGGCTAAAGCCAGTCAGAACTTGGTCAGCCATGTTATTAATGTGTCTTAATTCAGCACTTCAGGGTTTCATATGAAAACAAGCAGGTCTTTAAACATACTTTGGAAATGGAAAGTGGCTTACTGATATTTTGGATTTTGTTAGAGAACCTAAAATCATTATATATGCACAAAGAAAAAGTGGTTAAGATAATTATCTAGAAATTCAAGTAAAATCAGAGGGCAATGGGGCATTTTTATCATTGGTAGAGCAATAACTACAGCATGTAAACTATATTTGCTATTCCACTTGGTGAAGTTACCTAACCTGTTTTAAAACTTAAAATTTTTTTATTAAGCCTGGCCAGTGTGACTCAGTGGTTGAGCATCGATCCTGCACCAAGAGGTCGCCTGTTCGATTCCCGGTCAGGGCACATGCCCAGGTTGTGGGCCTGATCCCCAGTGGGGGGCGTGCAGGAGGCAGCCAATTGATGTTCTCTCTCATCAATGTTTCTAACTCTCTCTCCCTCTCCCTTCCTCTCTCTAAAATCAATTTAAAAAATTAAATTTTTTTATTAATAATTTTTTAGAGAGATAGAAACATCGATGTGAGAGAGATACATCGATCAACTGCCTCTTGCATGCCCACCACTAGGGATCAAACCTGCAACCCAGGCATGTGCCCTGACCATGAATCAACCCTGGACCTCTCAGTCCAAGGGACGATGCTCAGTCCACTGAACCACACTGGCCAGGCTTAAAATTTATTCTATACATTCTCAGTGTCTTCCATTCTGAAGCAGAAATTTTACTTAAAATGTGCAACTTAGATTTCTAAAATCAGTTCATTCTGAACAAAAATGCACTAAAGAGTAGATTTTCAGAGGGCACTAAAAAGCATCGTGCCTTTGTAGAAATGCAGATCTCAAAGTTTTACTTGAAAAAGGCTTTGTACTACATCATTGTTTTTATTGGGTTTGCAAATTTTTATAGTAACCTTTATGAACTCGTTGTATGTGCAACTTTTTTCAAAAGGTGTCTTCACGTGTACACAGCAGATAAAGTTTTTAATAAAAGTTATGAGATTTTCTATATATCTGCAGTAAATATTTAAAAGTACATTCTTTTCTAATGCTACTGGGAATTTTTGTTTTCCTTTAGAATGTGAAAAGATGCAGTGTGCGCAGCATCAGCGCTGGCTGTACCTGTGCCTAACAGAAATATTTCTAAAGTGAGTTTCAGTAGCAATTCCTCAGCACACTCTGAGTCCACGCTGACTTGCACGGCGGTCACAGGATGTAGGTCAGACCATGTAACGAATGAGGTACTTGCTGTTATTTTCCATGTTATTGGTGAGAACTGTGCACCATCAAATTTTTTACTTTGATGCGGAAAAAATTTGCTTATTTGATGGAAATAAAATATTTTATTTTATGAAATATTAAAATGCATATTATACTGATATCCTGAAATGAAAATAAACTGGTAATTTCTTTGGTTTATGTTATAAGGCATAATGTTAAAGATGATTCTTAAGCATTTCAATCTCAGATACAAACCACATTTAGACACTGTTATTGCTCATGAATAAAGATGTAAAAGTCACAATACTATGTTATGAGATTGTTAATGTATACACCACTCATACCACCAGGCCTCCATACAAAGGAAATTGGTCAAGACCTACAAATAAACGGACTATAGATGAATAAATTAATTTCCCTTCATGTAAAAATTCAGTATTCTTGGAGTTCAGACCTCTTGTGTGCTCAGCTGAGACACATGCGATCTCGTCTCCTCCTGGCCACCGGTCAGCGTGCTCTCGCTCCAGTGGTGCCTGGAGCCAGCCCCAACTGTGCGCATGTTTTCCGAGCTCTGCCTCCGGTGACTTCTAGCTTCAGACTGTCTATGGCAGGCGTAGTTACACTATAAAAACTGGCAAGCCCAGCAAATCAGGGCTCTTTTATGTGGGAAAGCCCATTTTTGACCCTGTGTCAGCCGCACTAGAGGTGGCGTTCCCACTTCTGCTCCTACAGAAAGGAAGGTGTTGAGGCAGGTCCCCACCGACCCACCCGAAAGGGATGTGAGCCTCTTCCGTGTGGACACCATGACCATGGCTGTCTTCCTACTAACCTAGCTCCACTTAATTACATGTTCGATCCGAGAAAGTCTCTCTGGCCTGTCACTGAGCTGCAGACCCATCAAAGACAGCCCAGGACTTCAGGAAGCAAGAGCCAGTCACAGGCCCGATGGGGGCAGGGGACAGCTGAGCACAGCTCTGTCAGCGGGAAGGCTCAGCCACGTGGAGGAAGGGACTGAGCACCAAGGCTGTTCGGCTCGTAGTCATATTTTGAGTTCTTACAGATGTTTATTGGTTTCAGGCCACTCGAAATGTTTTTCCTGCCAATTCATGGCTTTACAAGCTGAAAGAGGAGAAAAATATCAAACTCCCATAGTGCTAGTACTTGTACTAACAGCCCTGGCCAAGGAGAATGTAGACGTTGCAATAGATGGCTTCTAGGTTCTCACTGGACTTGGGGGTACTTAGTGGCTCCTGTTTTCTGCCAAGCCCTTAATTTTTGGTGTTCCTTCCATCAGCCCATTCTCATCACTCTCTCCATCCCCTTGGGCAACGTCTCCTTTCGTGCTAACCGCGTCCTGTCTGCATCTCCCGCCCAGAGCGCTACAGAACACAGGTCCACGTTCAGTTTTTGCCCAACACTTGTGTTTTACATTCTGCATGTCCAAAACAGGAACTCAGTTCCCTTCTCCTAAACCTTCTCTTCCTCCTCTGTCTCCGACCTTCGCCAACGCACCCTTGGCCTGTGCTGCCCACACAGGGCCAGTCCCCAGTCTGGGTCTCCTTCCCGCTCTCTCCGTTCCCTGCGTCACTTTCTTCGTCCGTTCCTCCGTCACCTCACACAGATCGCTGTCTCCGAGCCCTGACTGGTTTACTGTCTTCATTTTTCCACTTTAAAGCCATAAAAATCTTTCCAAAACATAACTCTGACCTTCTTGGCCTAAATTTTTCCAGTGGCTTATTGAAGCCATTATGATAAAATCTTAGTATGTTCCACAAGACCCTCCATGAACCAGCAAGTCCCTCAGAGAGGGCCTCCCAGGCTACCAGGACGAACCATCACCAGGTGTGTCTTGGGAGCTGGAGGTAAGTCTGTGCTTTCTGCCCCTTTCCCAAGCTCCGAGGCATTTTGAATGTTCAGACTTTTGGAAAAATGTCAGAGCAGAAATCACTCACCAGAAATCGTACTCTCCCCAGTACACACACCCAACACACTATTCTTTTTCTAATAATATGGAATGTTCACGAATTTGCTTGTCATCCTTGCTCAGGGGCCGTGCTAGTCTTCTCTGTGTCATCCCAATTTTAGTATACATGCCACCGAAGCAAGCACCCAACACGCTATTGCAATGAATTTATGACGAGATTTGACTTTTCTATTTATTTTTAGCACAAAAGGTCTCAGCAGCCATATTTGGTAATTCAGTAGGCACTTGAAAAGAGCTTTTTCCAGTCTTGGCTCAGAATATTTTGGGGGCCTCTACGAGTACTTTTAACTGCTATTTTTATCCCTGGAATCTTAGGAGTGAGCAAGATCAAGCAAAACAATGGCCCCAAGCCAGTTACCAGAACTGTGGCCGGGCGGAGGTGTGACTTCTCCTCTGGTGGTGAAGCTTTAGGACAATGTACACACCAGTGTTCGGATAAACAGATTTCTTTGTGTCAGACCTGAATCTAAGACTCGGGTCTGCCATCTACTAACTCTACAATCTGCATGCGCCATACCCACATCCCTTTAAATGCCAAGACTTCCACCTGTGGAATGGGGTAATTGTTATGGATGAGTGTGTTATTGCATAGCTTATCCTGCACCTTACCCACAGCAAGCTCTCAGTAAATGCCGCCCATCATGTAAACGTTCACACATCAGAGGAAGTTGTCCCTATCCGTGGACAGGGACAACATTGAGAGCCACAAGAGGTGCGGTCATTTTATTGTTGCCAAAAGATTGAGAGATACAAGGAAATTCCGTTGCAGTGCTGTGACTCCCGGTTCCTCATGAGTCAGTCTTTGTGATGTCTTCTATTAATTTCAACTACTAGTGCTTCATGAATCAAAATGATCATAAAAATAAGGACTGGAGACACTGAGGAGTTGAAGAGACCTCCTGTGAGAGACGCTAGGTTGTCTCTGAGTTCATCACCACAGTGCCGCTCGCTTCCTGCACCTTGGTGCCCTCCGTGTGGAATGACACTCACCAACGTGTACAGTTTTGCTCTGCTTTGAACAATTCACAAAACAAAGCCAATTCTGAAAATGCTTTTCTAAGTTTTACTCCATTGTACAGGCAGAGAGCATTATGTTACATTTATAGAATCATAAACAGTATCTTGCTTTGATTCCAAAGTGAAATTTCAGACTAAAATGTTGGTTTGTGTTACGTAATGTTATGTTTTCAATACACACTGAAGGTGTCGCGCTGAGATCAACGTAATGGTTGATCTCACAGAAATCCTGGCACGCTCACAGAAAATACCCAGTACATGCCAAGGCACATGGTACACTCTGTGTACAGGTAGATGATATGAGCCAGTAAACATTATTACTATGTAGCGTTGAAAAGAATATTAATAATACCTTACCTTTTAAGACTGCAACAACATGCTAAAAGCTATTACAATCTTGAGTAATGTTTATTTTATCGTCTTCAATTACATGGAGCCACCTGGATTTCTCATTTCCTTTCCTTCAAGTACTTCTCTCTGCTGAAAAGTAAAAGTCTCAGATTGGGTATTTAGAGGTGTGAATATGGCCTAATGGTCTACAGCGTCTTGGCTGCTTCGCCTGGTGCATTTCAGAAACGGCGCTCCGTTCCCCTGGGGTCAGCTTTGCTGTCCGACGTGTTCACAAGATGCTCAGACACAGCAGCGTTGGCCAAGCACAGCCCTCCCCGGGCAGGTCTCCCTCCTCCCGGGGGCAGGAGGCACTTCCACGGAGCTGCAGGCCTCGGGGTCTGTGAAGGAGATACTGACACCTGGCTTGCAAAAGCCTTCGGCTAACAAGGCAGACATTACTTTGCAAAGCAGAAAGCTGTAGACACAAAAACACTGAACTTTAATTCTTGTTTTCCATTATAGGTGCTTCCTGTGAGGGGCTATCGCTTCCTCTGCAAATGAGTGAGACAAACTGCTGCTCACAGCTGCTCACGGGCGAGTCCCTTCTCTCCACCGTGGCCACGCGGGAGGACGGGCCCGCGTGAGCCCCCAGACGCACCAGCCTCGCGCGCGCACGTTCCCGCGAAGGCTCGTTCCCGGAGCCGCGCCTCTCGGGGCAGCTGCCCCGCAGAGGAGGCACATTTTTTGGCAGATTTTGTCCATGTGATCTTTGCAAAACTGAAATTAAAATTGTTGTGTGGCACCACCTGCTCCGATTTTTTTTTTTTGCATTTATCTTCAGATAGAGCGGGAGGGAGAGAGAGAGAGAAACATCAATGTGAAAGGGACACATCGAGTGGCTGCCACCCACACGACCCAACCAGGGCCGGGGACAAACTGCAACCGAGGTGCGTGCCCTTAGCAGGAACCGAACCCGGGACTCTCTGGTCCACGAGCCGACGGTTTAACCACTGGGCCCCGGCCTATCTTTTTTATTTGAAACAGAGCAAACAGCATCCGTTCAAACTCACAGGTAGCTTAGCAGAGCTACAGACGAACAAATATAGAAAGAAGTGCACGTGTGCGTGCAAGAGGTTGGTATTAAAGGAGTGTAGGACGTGTCACCCCAAAACATGCCATTTGGTACGCCGATTAGTTCATTCCCCTTGAGCTGTACGCACTTGTAAAACAACAAATGCAGGAGAGACTTTCTCCAAACCCCTTATCTGCCCCAGGCGGATCCCCCAAAGGAGCCCTAAAACTCCTTGGGGGCTGCACGAAGCAGGGCCTGCTGACTCCTATCGAAGGAGCGGAGAGCAGAAGTCAGGCCGCACGCACACACTTGGTCACAAACCAGCACACCCCCATCTGCTCTTCTAGTGCCCCACTCACCTCTCCCAAAGGTCAGGCACTGTCCCCTAACCTGCCTGCAGCCCCGCTCCCCTCCCCCGCTCCATGGCAAGCAAGTACTCCAGTCTCTCCTGCGTGTGTGGGGGTGGCGTGTTTCTTCTTCCATGCGCCCCTGCATGTACTGTTCACATGTAATGAGTGGGCATAGCTTTCTTTCCTCCGTAATCTGTCTGTTGTCCGTTTGTTTCACGGACCCAGCTCCTGGGACTGGAGGAGTAGAGGGAACTCGTTCTTCCCTTACCCTCAGACCTCTCGGAGCCAGAGCACCTGCAAGTCCCAAGCCCACTGAGAACCGCAGCAGCACCGCACTGTCTCCAATGCCATCCTCTGGGAAAAGGGACCAAGCTCCTTGGAGAAATGGCTGATTCCAGGGCTGGGCAGGTAACAGTCAAGATGAGCCAAGGATATCTTATAGATCCAGAAATTTAAAAAGTGCTAAAACCACACACACACACACACACACACACACACACGGTTCAAGAGCCCTGACAGAGCTCCCAGTACCCAAGCTGGCACTGTTTGAGCAACAAAATATGTAACATGGTCTTGTGTTGTAATCCAAAGTATAAAATAAACATCTATGAATATAAATAAATGATTCCATAAATAAATTAATGTGGAGAATAGACAAATCTCCTGCACAGAAATCTATCCAGAAGGTGGAGCATAGTGTCCCATGCAGCAGGTGTGAGTTTTCACTTTCCCACCGATGGGAGGGAGGAGGAGAGTGACGTCAGAGGGCCAAGCCTGACGAGCACTTTTCGGCTTCACATCTTCAGTAACCAATCATGTCACAGCAAGTCTCCTTCATGGGACACATGAAAGTGTTGGTTTTTGTCTCAAGAAACCAGAACTACCGTCTCATCATGGGGAAAAACATTTGACAAGCCCAAAATGAAGGCCTTTCTACAAAATATCTGACTGGTGCCCAGCCAGCGTGGCTCAGTGGTTGAGCGTGGACCCAGGCACCAAGAGGTCACCAATTTGATTCCCGGTCAGGACACATGCCCAGATTGTGGGCCCAATCCCCAGTGGGGGGCATGCAGGAGGTGGCCAATAGATGTTCTCTCTCATCGATGTTTCTCTCTCTCCCTCTCCCTTCCTCTCTCTAAAATCAATAAAGAAATTTAAAAAAAAAAAAACAGGTACCCAAAATATCTGACTGTTACTCCTCAAAACTGTCAACATCATCAAAAACAAGGAATGTCTGAGAAACTGGTGGAGACAAATGGAGGAGACTTGATGGTTAAATGTATAGAAAGGGTTCTGCAACAGAACAGAGACATTGTGGAAAACAAAGGAATTCTAAATAAAATATGAACTTAAAATGTATTGAGATTGGTTCGTTACTTGAGACAAATGTACTGTAAGTATAAATGTAAGATATTAGTAGGAGAAGCTGGATGCTGGATATACAGGATCCCTACAAACACTATTTGCAACTTGTCTATAAATCTAAAATTATTCTAAAGTTTAAGTATTTTCTAGGTAATTTAACAAATTCTTCCTGATCCTTTAATCATGCCAGTAACTATGTACTGTCCCCTTTACATTAAATGTAGTGATTTGTGTTATCAGACAACATGAGTTTCTACTGGCTTCTTTTTTTACCTCTTCTTTCTATACATGTAAAATTTACATTAACCCACTTGTGTTTGAAAAATTTTTGATCTGTAACTTTCCATCTGAGCATTTTATTAATGTTTAATAATTTTCCAGGAAAGGGGGGAAAGAACAGAAATCTAAATGTCCTCATACAAAGCAGAGCCTTTGGGTTTGTTGGTCTCCCCTACTTCTGGAGGGTCCTGCGGGGGGTGTGCCTGTAGGGCGGCTCATGACCACGGAGCACTCTGATCTGCTCCCCCACAGATCCGATCTACCCAGAGAGCTCTGGGGCTGGAAATACCTTAAAAGTCTTTCCAGGGCAGCTTCCCAGGTCGGTATCCACATGCAGGTGGGTCCTGGGCCTGGCACGCCCCGGCACTCACGCTCAGCCACGAGGCATCCACGCACCCGCTTGTCACCAGAAGCCCATAGGGTTCCTGGGGTTGGACATTTGCTTCTGACAGCCACGCCTGCTTTCTGTTCAGTAACGGGCTCGGTTTATGAGATTTTGAAAACGTTTCTGCCTGAAGATCTCCAGTACACCGCTCTCAGTTTTTGAAGATTGGCTACTCCAGCTATCCAGTTATGACCTGGAGAATATCTGTACATTGAACAGGTGATGGACACAGAAAAAAGAATTGCACTTGCCCCCTAGGAATCAGGCTGTGCCTTGGTTTTCCTGTCTGTAAACATCAATTTAATCCAGTTATCAAAGAGGTGAGCC